CCGGAGGCATAAAAAGTAAAGGTGTGATCAGCCCGTAAAAGAATAAGAAGAAGATAACTCGTCCAGTATTCCACTGGCCTCTTCCAAAAAGTCTTCTTTTGTTTGGGCGTGCTGAATCTTCTCGCTGAGTACCACGTCTTGAACGACCAAGTAAACTATCCGTCTCGCTGCCAAATGAGTCGATACTTCTCCTTGATCGGCCTACGATTGATCTTGGGTGATGAGGCCCAAAGAATAATCTCCCATCTTCAATGTCTCCGCTTTGCCATTGTTCATATTCTGTGATGGTTCGACCTTCTCCTTGATCTTCCTGGGCATAAGCTTCGTCTTGTTCAAGCCGAACGAATTTTCCAAAGGGATAGAAAATATAACCGGCCAACCCTAAAAGCACACGCCCATATTCAATAGCACTTGGTGCCGCTCCAAAGACGAAGCATACAATTGCTCCAGTCAATGCTGCAAGTGCCAGCCACCAGCCGAAAACCAGTGTCCAGATGATGTTGAATAAAATCAACCATTTGTTGGCACGAGCACCAGGAGATGAATGAATATCACCCTCGGCTGTCTTTTGAACTGAACGGTTCTTTTTGTACAATGCAGGCTTCCAAATCCTTATACCGAAGGGATGCGTTTCGTTTATTGCTTGTTGGCGGTCTTTTAGTGTAAAGCTCTCCGCATCACTTAAAGAATCTTCGTCCTCTACCTCTGCGATACCGTCTTCTCCCTGCAAAGTCTCTTCACCCGATGTAGTCATATTATCATCTTTCGTCCTTTCACCTGTCGTAGAAGCCTCAACCTCAGCTTCAGCCTCAGCTTCCGCTTCTTCGTTGGAAGAATCCAATCTAGGCAAAGTTGGTTGAGTTGGAGCAGGGCGCCTCCGCACAGTTCCAGGACCATGCCTCGACGGTCCAAATCCCGATGCGATACCACCAATCCCAAGTCCAGCCTGCTGCCTATTCATTTCTTCCTCCATCTCAGTCACGTCATCATCCACCGAAAACTCTTGACCTCTATGAGGCGCTTGTACGTTTGATGAAGCACGACGTGGCATGGGAGGTTTTTTTGGTCGCTGACCTGTTCGACCGCGGTCGGACGGTCCCAGCATGGGAGATCTGGCTGGCTGGAATGATCGCGAAGAGTCCAAATTGACAGGCTGAGATCGCTCGCCGGCCATGGAAGATTCGCTATTTCTATGGTCGCCAGGCTGTGGAGTTTGAGGAGTAGATTGCATAGTTCCTACATCTGGCATTAGTAATTCTATATTTTGAAACTTTGAATTAACATGTGGCTAGTTGCATGACCGGACTTCGTGTGAAATATAAAAAGCGTACCATATCCTCCTGTGTTTTCTGGTCTCCGTCGCATTGTGTCGGTAGACTGGAAACTTTCCGCCAGACCGTCATTCTGCTGTGAGATAGACTCATATCTAGACAATGGATGTCGCGTATCTGTTGGACTTGTTGGTGTCGACATGCCGGACGGGATTGGAGTTGGGTTTTGGGTATCTTTCCCAGATGAAGACTCGCCGGGAGTTCGAGACATTTTGTAACTGGAACTTTGAAACCCGAACTAAGCTTTTATCTGCCAACCGGTCAAGAAGAAGAATGCTCTCAATAGTAGCACATCGGATTATGAAAACAAGCTCAGAT